AACTGCAAATCTGTAACAATCTTACTGTGTGTCTCTTAGCCTTCCCTTGTCATGACCATGGTGCCACAGTACTTCAGTATGCACCTAAGCAACAACTGTTGATTTCTGGAGGCAGAAAAGGATGTGTCTACATCTTTGACATCAGACAGAGACAAATCCTTCATACCTTCCAAGCACATGACTCTAGTATTAAGGCTCTTTCACTAGACCCTTCTGAAGAATACTTTGTAACAGGCTCAGCAGAAGGTAACATGAAGGTAAGGTTAAGAAGTGACTGAGTTGTGATATAAATTTCATCTGGAGAAAGCACAATGAATTATGCTGAATTATTTATCTTAATTTGTTACCATTTTTTAATTTCAGAATGTGCTCTTGTTTTCCTTTGGATCTCTTTTTTCTGCAACAGCGCTACAGTAATTGTTAAAATGAACAGGCAGCCAGTTGATCTGTAGGGTAGTCACAGTAACTAAATGTCAAATTCTAAATATTATAACTACAGGCAGTCCCCGAGTTACGTGGATCCGATTTATGTCGGATCCGCAGTTACGAACGGGGTTTTTCTCGCCCCGGAGGACGGGAGCGGCGGGACGCCCAGACGTGCCGCGGGCCCACCGCCCGCGTCCACCGGGGCGAGAAAAGCTGCTCCTCGTCTCCCTGGTCTGCCCCCCCCAGCAGACCAGGGAGACGGGGAGCAAAGCCTCGGAGGACGCTGGCAGCGGGACAGCCGCGGCGCGTCTGGGCTGCCCCGCTGCCCGCGTGCTCTGTGGCTTTGCTCCACGTCTCCCTGGTCTGCCCCCCCCAGCAGACCAGGGAGACGGGGAGCAAAGCCTCGGAGGACGCTGGCAGCGGGACAGCCGCGGCGCGTCTGGGCTGCCCCGCTGCCCGCGTGCTCTGTGGCTTTGCTCCACGTCTCCCTGGTCTGCCCCCCCCAGCAGACCAGGGAGACGGGGAGCAAAGCCTCGGAGGACGCTGGCAGCGGGACAGCCGCGGCGCGTCTGGGCTGCCCCGCTGCCCGCGTGCTCTGTGGCTTTGCTCCACGTCTCCCTGGTCTGCCCCCCCCAGCAGACCAGGGAGACGGGGAGCAAAGCCTCGGAGGACGCTGGCAGCGGGACAGCCGCGGCGCGTCTGGGCTGCCCCGCTGCCCGCGTGCTCTGTGGCTTTGCTCCACGTCTCCCTGGTCTGCCCCCCCCAGCAGACCAGGGAGACGGGGAGCAAAGCCTCGGAGGACGCTGGCAGCGGGACAGCCGCGGCGCGTCTGGGCTGCCCCGCTGCCCGCGTGCTCTGTGGCTTTGCTCCACGTCTCCCTGGTCTGCCCCCCCCAGCAGACCAGGGAGACGGGGAGCAAAGCCTCGGAGGACGCTGGCAGCGGGACAGCCGCGGCGCGTCTGGGCTGCCCCGCTGCCCGCGTGCTCTGTGGCTTTGCTCCACGTCTCCCTGGTCTGCCCCCCCCAGCAGACCAGGGAGACGGGGAGCAAAGCCTCGGAGGACGCTGGCAGCGGGACAGCCGCGGCGCGTCTGGGCGCCCCGCCGCTCCCGTCCTCCGGGGCGAGAAAAACCCCGTTCGTAACTGCGGATCCGACATAAATCGGATCCACGTAACTCGGGGACTGCCTGTAGTTGTGTTGGGATAGTGCCTAGAAATTCCAGTCTTGGTCCAGTACCCCACTTTGCTAGCTGCTGCAAAAGCACACTCCCTGTTCCACAGTGTTTATAATCTGAATACAAGAGGAAAGACAACAGATGAATACAACAGAGAGAGCGCCCAAACATTTTGCCTTTAGATACAGTATGCTATAGAGCTGCATGATGATTTACAGTCTGATAAGAGAATCCCTGCCACCAGACACCTTACATCCTAATGACCTGAGACTACATCACTGAGCTTGAGGACTTGCCACACTTTGGAAAACTGGGTCCCAAGTCAGAAACTCTCCTAATGCACCACTGTAAAGGAAATTTGAGCCAGATTCTTTGCCCCTGTTCCGGCAGAGGGGAATTCTCAGCTGACATAAAAATAGTTTGTATGCCAACTCTACAATCTGTACCCCCCCATCACATGGGATAAGTCAGGAGTGGGGGCAGGATCTGCAAGTAACAGAGAAGGCCAAGATGAAATGGAGGGAAGTTTTGCTCCACTACATGAATTCATGGCTGGTATACGGTTGCTTAAGAAACTGTAGCCAGCTGTCATACATTAAAGCACCCCCCACGCTGCTCTAATTTATGCCAGTACAAGAGTATCTTGAGAATCCTGGAGCTGCAAAACTCCCTCTCTGACCATCCATATTTGCTTTCTCTTCTGTGCTGAGTGGTTTTTGAGGCAGGAAAAGTTTAGGTCCAGATTCTCAATAGAACAGGCACTTTTTAACCTCATTCTGTCTTGTCTGTCATTCTCTTACTCTAGGTCTGGAGACTGACAGGCTACGATATAATTCATTCATTTAAAAATGAACATGCCAAACAGTCCATATTCAGAAATATTGGTGCTGGAGTCACACAGATTGAAATTGTGCAAGACAATCGCATCTTTTCCTGTGGAGCAGATGGCACACTGAAAATGAGAGTTCTCCCTAATGCTTTCAACATCCCCAAAGGCATTTTTGATGTTCTGTAGATTTATGCTGTTTAGTCCTGTTTTCTATACAGTTCCGTTAAATAGCTACAATGCAGTAATATGCATTAGTGGAAGGAACTATCTGTTGTACATTGCTTTCAGAGCAATTACTGCACTATTAAATATTACATCAAACAGAAAAAAGATTGAATTTTAAAACAGGTTTATTGAGCACTGGATATGTGGATGGGGGGATAGAAATGCATGCAATGCATTGTTAAAACAAAGAATAAAACCCAGTAAAGCCCTAGGGAGGCTAGTATTCAGTGACCTACAGCAAGCCTCCTTTGGTAAGGATATTACACAGATTATAATAGTAGCCACAGACATATACAAGCACTGTGGCTCTAAATAAAGTCAATAAGCAGTTTGTAATGTGATTCAGGTTTTATTTTTCTTCCAGTTTTTGCCACTAATTGAAGCATGTCTACAAATTCTCATTTAAAAAACAGCCTATTGTCATAAAGGGCATTCAGTGTATGTAAGATTTAATAGGCCAGGAAAGTGTAATAGATGCAAAAGTTGTGGAACAATGTGCAATGAAGAATGTACTGTGAGACACATGTATCGTTTTATGCTGATATTTTTACCAGGTAGTATTAATACCCAGTTGATACTGTACATTGCACACGAACACATTTTTAAGTGCAGTGTTTTCTTAATTTGCACACTACTTTTTCTTTGGCTGTGTTTTATATTTTGGAGATCTGCCTTTACATTAGGAATGTAATGTGAGCATTAAATGTTTGTAGTGAAGAAAAACGTTTTTATTTAGCTTTTAGTTTTGAAACTCTTATGTATGTCCAGAGAAAATAAATACTTCCTTAAATGAAGCTATATAAGAAAATACCAATGTAACTTACAATGCCACATTTCAGATGAATGTCAGGCTTTATGTGGCCAGCTAATAAATAGTTGATAAAACTGGTAATTTAAGTTATTACCACAGCATATTGTATAAACTATGCAGTGTTCAATATTGTTTGCTTGTAATATATTAGCCACTGTTGTCATATTTAGATGTATTTTTCTGCATAAACAAAAAACATGTTCTTAAGATATTGGAACAGATGTCTGTGTATTTAAATGTTAACTAGTTGTCTTCTTCAATGAAAATTTTGGTGTCTGTGCTGGAATGTAAAATATAATGGGATAAAATGCACCTTTCTCCAAAGGGGATTTTAATTGCAGGTAGTGATTTATGGATATGAAAAAAGGAAGTGTCATTTTTTTAGTTTGACCTTTGTAAGTTAAATAAATTCCTTTTCTCTCATGGAACAGTGTAGTTCCTGTGCAGTCCTTCGTCTTGCACTGAAACAGACTAGTTGTATCTTCAGTATCATGATTAGATCTGTAGTCGCCACTGGGGCTAAAGATATAATGTTTGCCGTCAGACATGCTTCTCTCTTGCGGCTCCCAAAGGGTACAAGATTAACAGAACTGAAGTTGACTTTCTGTAGCACACGCAGCTGCACTACAAACACTTCTTACACCATCCTGTCACTGTGGTGAATTGAGAATTCATTCTCCTTTCTGCTTCTTTAGTCCTTGGACTCATTGGCAAGCTGCCCACAATGGTGTTAATTTGATGGAAACAGTAATTGGTCTGACACCACCTATTTCATTTAACATGCATCAGCTCAGAAAGGCTTCCCTTATCATCCTGTGTTAAATTTGCCTTAAAGGTGAAAGGTTTCCCAATCCTTCTGCTATTTCTCCTACTCAGTGTGTCAGTTAGTTTTTTGATTAAAGTAGAAATAATAAATACTCAGTTCTGAAATGTGAATTTTAAAAGCAGCATTTTATGTAGTCAAAGTGAGTAAAACAAAAAAGTTCTAAATTATTTCTAGTTTAATATCCTGAAGTTAAATGAAGATTTAGAATATGTGGTTCTTTTTTATATATTGAATTTGCAACCTAAGGAGGAAGCTACTTAGAAAAAGGAATTAAAATATGTTGCAGCAAATGATATCTAATGTTTCAAGTATTTGTTACTGGCAGTTGTTCTTGCTTCACCTAATACTGCATATTTTGAAAAAGTGTAACAACTGAACTTAGGTTAATTATGTATGTGTGAACTTTTTCCACACAGAACACTATCAGATGACATCAAAAAATCTGACTTCAACTTATAATCAAGGGAAAAATCAAACTTCAGGCAGAAATGAAATGGTACACTTACTTTGTTTTTGTTTTCACTGTCTACGTTTCAGTAATTACGCTCATAGCAAATCCACTAAGCCACCTTTCTTTTAAATAACACGTAATTTTGGTGGGAGGGGAGGGAGAGATATTACATGTAAGATTCCCCCCACTGTTTGAATAATTATTTTTTTCTCTGATTATGTGAAGATAAACTTTCTGCTAAAACCCATATAGGCAAAGGAACTTTCAGTTCAAATTTATTAACATACATATAGTATTCTTCATTCAGAAAGATTAAAATATGCTTTAAACTATAAAGATCTCTTCCTCCCATCATTTGGAAGTCAGTCTGATTCAATTAAGGAGGAAACATTGTGGCAGTAATGCTGATAGACTAGATTAGAAACAGGAAGCGTGTCCTTATATGGAATTGAAATTGCCAGCAATTTATTGGGTATACCCAGTTAAAAAAATCTGCTTTATTTGTGAGTAGAAATGCTCATTACACTGCCTACTTTTATTTATTTATATGCTTAGTTTTGTTTACGTAGTCACAATTCAGTTCTTAAGAGATAAGTACAGGAGCACACAGAGAAAACAAGCATTCTAGCTGCAGTGCTCTTCACTCTAGCTCACCCTTACGTTGGAAGTTCTGGGAGGGGGCAGGGTCTAACAGTCAGCGATCCCTGGTCTCCTCAGACTCTTCAAGCGGCTTTTAACAGCTTGAGATGGCAAAAATGGCCAAAGAACCAGAGTATTGCCCTCCTGTCCTTTTATAAACTACCACTCTCCTCTGTCATGTGACCATCTGATCACTCAACTCATGAGTACAGACCTCTACCAGGTGATTCCCCTGATAAACTCTCTCTTTTGGGTAGAAGTCAGCCTTTTGGCTAGGGGCCTCCTATTGACTAAAGGACTATCAAGATTTCAACTCTACATTGTTAGCCCTGTGCTACTTACTACCCCTTTGGAAAACAGGGTGGTAAAAGGACATCACAGAAGGCAACCAATCCTCACATTCAAAATGGCTCTGCAGGCTGTTAAAGATACATGCAGATATTCATGATTTCAACAGAATTAATTTGTTGTCCACAGAAACTTTCTCTAAATCGTCACAGAAAGCTGTTGCTCATAAATACTATGCCTTTTTCTCATGTAACACAGTTACATGCGGTAGATGGCACATCACTATTTCGTGATAACCCTAAAAGTATGAGTGACACCGAGAACACAAACCATTCAACAGCGTTCCTTTGCAGAGTGTTTAATTTGAAAGGTTGGTGCTGATTCTTTTTAGTATGTGAGAGTTGAGATGGGGAGGGGCAAATGGCTAGTGAAGGTCACTTAGGCTGTGCAGGTGGCTGCATTGATGGGGGAGGTTTCCATCCTCAGAGATGACCCTGTTTACCAGTTGTAGCCTGTGATGCTATTCAGGCCAAACTATGAGTTTACCATAGTATAAGTCTGATAATCCTATCCAATGTGCTTTTCTTTTTTTAAATGAGATATGCAGCTGCCTGGTACAGCAATTCCTGGGAACTGTGGTTTGTTTTTATCAGCTTTCAAGATATGAAAGGGTCTGAAGTTAATTAAATTCTTTCACACAGTGCTGCAGAACATACACAAATTGAAATTGCTTGCCTTAAGCACATATGATTCACTTCAGGTTTTACACCCATTACAAGTGGGTTTTAAATGCTACCATTCCTCACATCACTGATGCCATCATTTGCATCACTTCTCTGTTTGCTTTTTGGTTAGTTAGCCATATTTGTCAATTTTCAGGTTTCTTACTATTTTTTCTTTTTTTCCCCTATTTTGACTTATAAATATGAGCTGAATTTTTAATAAAATATTTCTTTGTTCTTTAGGGTATTTACTTTAGTAGAAAAATCACTGTCCCTGATCATTTTAATCACTGTACGTCAATTCTTTAAAATATCACAACTGAACAAAATTCAGAGTTGATGCAGGGTATTAAATAGAAATGTTACCAAGAAGCTTATTTATACACATTGTTTAGACATTTACACTAAACTATAATCACTGACTGGAAGATAATTGCAGACAGTAACTACTAATTAAGAGTCAAAACAGACCCTATTGAACATGGTATTGTAAAATAATCAGTATATGGACGATATAATTATGGCCTCCATGGAATGGATAAAACCAAAAATAAGTTTGAATACACAGCATTTTCTTGATAAAGTCAAGAATTGCCTATATAAGTATATTTAAATGACACAAAGGAGTCTGGTCTCCCCTTTATGCACACACAAATAACCACTAACCTTGAACAGGAGATGTGGATATACTGGAGGGATGAGAGCCCCCCAAATGGATAGGATATCACTTTAAATAACCTACTTAATTCAATATGGCCAGCAAGATACCTTATTTTAAAATAGCATTCAGCTATCAAAGTGTACAGGGTATTGCATTAAATAGCCATTCTCCCATGTATACAAGTCTCTATCTCTTAGACTATATGAAAGCATAGCAAGAACAGACTGTGCCGATCTTAACTCAAAGCTTGCATCAATTTGCTTCTCTCTCAACAAATCAAAAGCAAATGTTACCCTCATATCCTTAGTATCAGTAACATAAAGCACACCACATGTTATGAATGCATTGCCAGCTTTGGATTTGGGGTATGTAGTGTTTATATGGTGAATGACTGAAAATGTCTCTTCATCAATATGTGCTACAATGATATTTTCATCAATACTGGAAGCATAGATAATCCAAAGACCCTTTTCATCCACTGCTACATTGAAGTATGTCTTGGAGTTAGAAAAGAGGTAGTGGCGACTATCGTGTAAGGCATTTTCAATTGTCAGTGTTCTGAATGATGCCGTCTCAAGCTCAAATCTGAAAGGAAATAAGATAAATATATCTGATTCTGCTTTTCATAGTTAGACACATAATTTGGTAAATTCTTAGTAGTGAAGATGTCTCTCAGGAAGAATTGTATTTCCTTTACATTTTTTTTTAAAACAGGACAAAATCTCTGCTCAGAGGATTTAGGATTTCCTGGCAAAAATAATTGTGTGCTCATGTCACTCTGCTTGTGCTTACTGGTGGAAATGCATTCTCTCCAGTTTTCAATAAATACCACAATAGTCCCATCGAAACAGTCTATAAAATCCTTCAGCTGTTCTCCTGAGAGAGATGTCTGGGGAGAGCATTATAACAGACCAGGCCCCCAACACTCCCACCTCCGTACTTTAGATTAGTGTTGTGTAAGCTGTCGCCCCCAATTCTGGTTTGGTTGCTCACCTCTTCTGGAGGAGGCGAATATGGTGATCTAAGTGAGGTCAACTAGACTATAGTGAGACATGAAAGGGGCTTTTGAAAAGCCAAATAGGCTTTTAAAGACCATTGAAATCTGGCCCCAGATATCCAAGGAATGAGTCTCTGTCTAGGTGTTATACCATTTCATCATCATAGTAACTGAGCAGCTTACACACAGTCAGAGAAACTCCTTCAGGCTCTGGGGCTAGATCCAAAAAAGGGATTTTGTTACCTGAGATTGAAAATTAGCTCCACAAAACCCTTGTTCAGCTGCCATCAAATGCTATAGTTACCTAAAATCCCCAAGCATCTGCCTTTCCATGAGTGATCTTACCCAAAGCCAACAACGTTCTGATCCTGCCAAGCACCTTGGTGCCTAAGCCTCAGCAGGATTCACAAAATATGAATTCCCTTACCATGGGAACCAATTCAGGAAGTGTTTCTAGCAGCTGCCTAAAAGAATACCTACCAGATTGCAGGATGAGGTCTGCAACGGCCCAGTGGTAAGAGCAGTCAGCCAGCTTGCAGGAGACCTGGTTTCATATGTCCACTCTGCCAGATTCAGAGCCGTGATCTGAGCCCAAATCTCCTATCTCCCAGGTGAATGCCCTCACCCCCCGTGCTACTCAGTCCTCTATTGAAGATTTAAGTATTTCATTTAAAATGGAACAGCCTCAACACAAAAGACTGACACCTCCTCCCCCACATGCACGCACCAAATACCCTAAAGCCTGCTGCTTAGTGGGGCACTTGGGAGACCACTGATGTGTTTGGGAAGCAGCACAACCAGTGCCTCCTTTAGTAAGAGAGGACTGACCTGAGTTAGATTCATGACCGTGAATCCCATGTTCAGGGAGGTGTTGCCCTCCAACCCAGAGAGAGAGGCACCTAACTCCCTCTGATGGGCGAAGCTAAAGCCAGACTCTTCCCCTTGGCATTTCCTACTGACTTCCTAGGCAGCTCCTTTCTCATCAGGCTGGCATCTATAAACGTGATTCTTGGGTGCCTAACTCTCCCCATGCCTCCTACAGGGAGACTGGGTGCCTCATTTAAGGCCCAGGATTCCACAAATTAGCAAGGTGCCTGAAATGAGGGCATTGCAATGCTGAGCCTTAGTGAATCGAGCCCAATTTCTCCTTCTCTAGCCTCTTGGTGGAGGAAAATTTAATGGTAGTAGTGAGAGCACGGTCATTGAAGGAAAGCTTGGTGGAGGGTCGGGTGAGATTGGAAGCCATGCTAATGTGCTCTAGGGACAAGTTCCAGGCTCGTGGAGCACCTCCTAAGAGAGCAGGTGTAAAGAAAACAGCCAGAAAGTCAAACACACACACAATCATGGCAGGTTTCACAATATTTAGTCTATGAACTCTTCCCTGATCATTAAGTGGAAATCAGTCAGGCGGTTTGCAGAAAGAACAAAATGATGGTTCCATTTTCCAAGCTTGCTGCAAGTAACACTGGGCGATGCAGCAAACAGAAGAGAAGAGGAAATTTTGCGCAGAAATCTGGCTGTCTGTGGAGGAGGACCGTGCGCATGATGATGTCACCAAGCAAGGCAGGCTGAGTTCATCTAATCATAGAGCTCCACCACAAGGTTAATTCATCACAAATGTGTAAAAGCCATTCACATATCAAATAAAAAATCTTCTTGCCAACATTCTGACCTCACATTGGCCTTCATCGAGGCAGATGGAATGGCTTGTCTGAACTATAAAATGGTTTTATTCCTTGAAACTCCTAGATGATAGAAGAATAATCTGAGAACAACAGTGCTCAGCAAGCTACTTAATGCAAGTTTCTCTGCTAGTTTCAAGCGGGTCATCAATTACGACTCAAGTTTATTTTAATTGGTATTTAACCACTGAATGATGCAATGTTTTGGGGCGTATAGAGCATACTTTATTCTTTGGCTTAATAAATTTACATAACAGGAGCATGTTTGATGAGCTGGCTGTTACCTAACAACGCCACCCAGCATGTCTCCCAAGACACAGGCAGTAAGCACATGCAACACCTGCAGGTAAGGTGGCTTAGGGTGCCGCTGCTATTGAGGTGGGCCAGTCTCACGACCTCATTGCTGTTTGGCAGGAGCAGCTGCTTTAGGCAGTGGTCAGGGCCAGCTACCTGGGGTCCGCTCCAACAGGGAGCAGGTTTAAAACAAACAAAAGGAAGTTTTTCGTCACTCAGCCCACAGTCAACCTCTGGAACTCCTTGCCAGAGGATGCAGTGAAGGCTAGAACTTTAACAGGGTTCAAAAAAGAGCTAGATAGATTCATGGAGGTTAGGTCCATCAATGGCTATTAGCCAGGATGGGTAGGACTGGTGTCCCTAGCCTCTGTTTCTCTGGAGGTGGGTGACAGCGGAGGGAATCATGTGAGGTTTACGTGTTGTGATCCCGCCCTCTGGGGCATCTGGTATTGGCCACTGTCGGCAGACAGGATACTGGGCTAGATGGACCTTTGGTCTGACCCAGTGTAGCTGTTCTTATGTTCTTACAAGGAACTGCCCAAGCAGCTGGTCCCAAGGCCACTCCAGCAGCAGCAAGTGTGGCTGGCCCCAGGACCGTCAGTGCAGTGGCTGGCCCAGGGCCTCCTCTTCCCCTCCGTGGTTCAGATTGGCCTGAGGTCAGCCACAGTGATCGCTATAGAAGTCACAGAGATCCTGGAAAGTCATGGAATCTGTGACTGCCATGACAGACTTGCAGCTGTGTCCATTAGTACAACAAAGGCAGCTTAGCCCTACAACTCGCCTTACAGTCAACAAACTATTGGAAGAGGCAAGGGTATTTCCGGGGGAGAGGGGATGGAATGGGAGCTGGCAGCACAGATTAGAAAATGGTATCGATTGCAGGCCAAGCCTCAGAAAAGCAGAACTGGCCAAATGATTCCCCTTGTGCCTGCAAGCCGGGGACAGAGACACGTGGACTTTAAAATCAGAAAGGACCATCATGATCATTCAGCTTGCTCTGCACATTGCAGGCCACAGGAGCTCACCCGCCCAGCATGTCGCTCTGCAGTGAAGGTGCAGCAATGGCTCCGGAGCATCAACTTGCACTACCCACAGGAGAGCCCCACAGAGCAACAGCTTCATGGCAGGAGAGGGCATCACCAATGCTGAGCCAGCCAACATCAACTTACTCTTCTCCTCTGTGGAAACTGCCTTACCACTGGGGGAGGGGAGGAGGAGACAGGCCTCTAAAGGGATAGCTCTAGGAAAGCACAGCTCTTGCCAGAATAGTGTGTGTACAGAGGGCTACGGGAAATACAAAGCGTGTGAAAGGAGCCAGCTTCTACTGATATAAGATACATGTGTTCGGAGGGCCGAGCCACTACCCTTTCCTACCTGCCCACCACCCACACAGCATGATGAAGGAAAACATGGACTCAGTCCTGGGAGTGATCTATTCTACAGTTACCAAATATGGCCAGTAGAGTGCCTTAACTCCCCACTTCCACCAGCTGCTTTGGGTATGGTACAGAGCTCTGTTTCACTCGTGTAAGAGTACGAAGATCAAGCGGAAGATCTATTCTTGAATGAAGGCCATGAGATAAAGGGGCAAAGTATTCTTCTTAGAGGGGAGCTGCCCCTGGAAAAGGCTGCCAGAGGAGATCAGACAAATGGAGAGTCTGAGAACTTTTGGAAATGCTGCAAAACCTTGTGTGATAAAGTTTTTCCAACCAAGCAACATTCATAACATCTACCAGCCAGCTCCCACTACACTTAAAATGAGTATAACTCCCCCAAGACCTTTATGTAACCGAAAAGGGAGAAGCCCTAGAGACTCTATGAAGTCCACTAAAGTCTTTGCCAATCTATTCTGCATGGAAGTAGAATTACTCTCTGAGTTATTAATAACTGAAAAGTGGGGTTGAGACTAGAAAGGCCCGCTCTTAGCAATAGGTCCTCTATCATATCACATTGTCACAATAAGTCAAGTTGGTTCAGCTAGCAAAGTCTAAGCCTGTTTAAGATGCAAGGAATTGGAAGTGTCTTGGGCAGAACAATGTATGATCCCCGCAACCAGCTCACAGTCTTTTCTCACTGCACCCTTGTGGGTGCCAGAGAGGCACACCCACCTGTGGAGAAACTTCCAAATACAATAGTGTTCTTGGCTCAGACATCAGAGACTCATATGGAAACTGGAAAGCAGCTGGAATCTTTAACTCGTCCTTGAAGTGCATTTGCTTGGCTCTTCCCACAAGGCTGAGTTTTGGTTTTGATTAGCACTGTCTGCCTGACTAAACGCTAGCGAGACACAGGTATGGCGGCACGAGCTGCTCCCGGTTCAGACCCAGCAGAGGCGGGATGGAAGAGCCATAGGAACATTCTACTTATGGGCAATCTTATTGTGAAGTCAGCACTCTACAAGGCTGCCTGGGGGCTTACCATGTTGCCTTGGGATCACTGGATGCCCTTGTATTGCTATGTGGCCGTGCATGCACATCACGAGTTAGAGACCACTGCTAGCCACACTAGGCTGGCTACACATGACTTTGGGCCGGAGCAACTACACAGCAACACATACATGCCGGCTCAGCAAGAAGGCCTGGCCTGCCAAGGTGCTCCTGTGCCAAAGGCAAGTTCCACTGTGTCCTACCTTTCATAATCACATGATATGATTGACATGACCCAGGGTGGCACTTGAAACAACAGACAATAGACACGGTGGGCTGAACTTTCTCTGGCATCTGAGTGGGAAGACAAGGCTCTAAGCCACCCTTCCACCTCCCCCAGTCCAGGGGCTGAACCAGTCCCAAGCATAAGGGATGCTCTAATTAGCACTGCTGGAAAAGTCTTCTAGGGACCATTCCACTGGCAAGGAGCACACAGCTTGGATACTTGTTGCACCACTGAAGCAGCAGAGCGTTCACCTGGGATGAAGATCTAGCTAGCTCAAAACAGTTAATGTTTGTAAAGGCTGATTCATTTCCTTGCTTTCTCGTGTGCTGTTTCTGTGCCCTGATCTCACCCCTGGATGCCCTTTTGGCGGGATTCTGTCCAGGGCAGTGGTCCAAATGCAGGATCAGGGCCTACATTTGTCAGAACACCACACATTATAGGATGTGAGCCTGCTGACAACTGCTTCTCCCGCCACACATCATAGGCTCCTCCTCTGCCATTGGTGGCCAATGGGGACCATTTCTAGTAGCAGCTACCGGAGAAAAAGTTATATCCATTACGTTAGAGGAGACTGTCTTGACTGAAGGTTCAGAGAGGTAGCCGAGTTAGTCTGTAACTGGGAAAACTATCCATTCTCCTACCCTTCCTACCCACCCTCTTCTTCTATCTCCAATCCCAAAAGACACCACAGAACATGCAGACAGTGTATTTTGTGTTGAGGGTTTTCCCACCAAAGTTCATCTTTGCCCTTTTCATCTCTATTCATGTTCCCTGCTCTCATTACTTCTTGTGCCTTCCACCCAGGGGAATGCAAAGCTGCCATCCAGCTGACCTTTGACTTACTTCACAATGACGCTGGCTCCTCCTTTTTGATAGTATAGACAGTTGTTATATATCACATGGCCACAGCCATAGAAGATCCCTGTGAGGTTAATGATCCTGTAGCTGTCATTCAGCAATGCGTTTGCATTCTCATATTCTTTTATGAAGTTTCCTTAGGGGAGGGGAAAACATGAAAGAAAACCAGTCAGTTAGTTGACTGAACTATCTCACATCTCTACCCTCATCCAGATATAATTCTATTGGAATCAAGCTCCTGCCAACTATATCCACATTTTTGAACATTTTTCAGAGTGCCGTAACACAAAAATAAAGAGAGAAAAAGCTTCATCAAAGACCAAGTTTTTTGTGTTTGTTATTCAATATTTATATTGTGGTAGCATCTAAATTCTCCAGTGGGCACTAGGACACAGAGGCTTTGTCTACACTGCCGGCTTTTGCCAGCAGAGAGTATGCAAATAAAGTGCTGATTAGCATTTTGTTGTGCTTCATTTGCATAATCCATTCAAGGGGTTTTTGCGGAAAAACAAGCAGTGTGGACAATTCCTTTTTGCGCAAAACCTCCCTTTTTGTGCAAGATCCTTATCCCTCTCCAGGAGAGGCAAAGGATCTTGTGCAAAAAGGGGTTTTTGCACAAAAAGGAAATGTCCACGCTGCTTGTTTTTGTGCAAAAACCCCTTGCACAAAAACAGCTCGAATAGATTATGCAAATGAAGTGCAACAACATGGTAATCAGGGCTTCATTTGCATACGCTGCCAGCAGAAGCCAGCTGTGTAGACATAGCGAGACTGCCTAGAATCCAGCCCATTTCCATGGTTTTCCTGCTCACTCGTGCACTGTCCTTCTCCCCCACCATTTTTTTAAATCCTTAAACTTCTGAAGTGCAATTTAAGAAATGGAAGCCACGGGGAAATGGTAGGATTGATGTAAAAATGAACTGACATAGGACACAGTAAAATTAGGCTTGGCTGAAAACTTTGCCTTGAAATTGTTTTGACAAAAAAATTGGATTTTTCAAACAAAGGAAATTTTTGGCAAAAAGTATCTGCTTTCCACAGAATTTTTGCATTTATTTGTGAAAAAAATTTTTGGTTTAAAACCCAAAAGTTTTTCAGCTGAAAATAGTTGGCTTTCAGTTTTCCACTGAAAAGTAGAAATTTTCCACAGATGCCCTTCCTTCCACATTTTCCACGCAGCATTAGTTAACACTTTCTCTGGGGTTCCACAAGGCATCCGTAGATATATTAGGAAAGCAAAGATTTCAAATAATTGTGACTGAGACCCTGGAAAAAAGGAGGCCTCTCTCCACTTATGAGTCAAGTTTGTTGCTATTCTTCCAGAGCTCTCCTGTTGGCATAGACGGGGGTTACATGACATTGTGAGTCAAAGCAGAAAAGTCACAAAAGACTTTTTTGATGCTGTGGCACATTTAAGGAGCAGAGAACTTTTAAAAGGTTATAATAATAAATTATTATGCAGACAACATAGACCAGGAAAATGATGCTACTTGGGTTTAAAAATAACCTCTGCCAGGCTGACCAGACAGCAAGCATGAAAAATCCATACAGAGGGCAGAAAGAGGCAATAGGCACATACATAAAAGACAAAGGAAGGAAAGAAGGAAGGAGCAACCTATTCACAATTAAATTCATGGTACCTGAAAAATGCATTGTAAGCCAAATTCTTTCATCGCTTCTATTTGTAGGTTCCCTCATCCACGTCCCAAATGTTTGCTGTATCTTACCCATCTCCGTGGGACTTCCTATTGATTTAATGATGCATTCTGATGGCAAAGAGAAAAACAAATTTGCATCATCCCTGACCTCAGCAAGTAAACAGTAGAATTTAATGATGTGACATATTTAGAATAAATTACCAGCTTTTTTTGGATGGTAGCCGTTGGTTTTCTCATCAGCTTTTCCTACCAGCGTATCATCATTTGGTATGGCACATGTCTCACCTAAAATTGGGGAACAGAAAACCAACCTTTTGCATATGTTTGACAGATCTAGGGCACATCATCAGTTGGGATAAACTGCTCCACTGAAGTGCATGGACCATGACAATTTATACCAGCTGAGGCTCTGCCCATGTTTCTCATTTTTCAAGCAACGAGTAGTCCTGTGGCACCTTAGAGACTAACAGAAATCTATATAGTATTATGAGCTTTTGTGGGCACAACTCACTTTTTCTTCAAATGAGAAGCTCTGACTCAAGATCTTCTCATCTGATGAAGTGGATTTTCCCCACGAAAGAATTGTATTCGACTCTAAGGTGCCACAGGACTACTCGTTTTTAAAGTTACAGACTAACCTGGGTACTCCTCTGAGACTTTTATTTTTCAAGATTTCTTATAAGCAAAAAAAAAAAAAGTTTGAACTATGCAATACAGGTCACTCAGTTTCACAGTGATCCAACATTAACATACGCATCTATCACAAGTTAAGGCTGTGCCAAAATCCAGAATGGCATTTTATGAAGTTGGCTCTAAAAATAATTTTGGGGATGATAGCACTAGCATATGCTGTGTGGCTTCCATGTTTATCAGACTTTAAAACAATAATTTTTGCTTTCTTTAAGCTAAAAATGTAGGTTAACCAAATTAAAAAACCTTTTGCACTTGACAAATAAATTCTTACATTTAAAAATACACATAAGTGGCTAATAATGTGTCCAATAAGGTAGAGATAGTGGCCAGACATGGGAATATTTGGCCTGCCTGCTACTTCTATATAAAAAGCACTTCTGTTCACACACACTGCTACAGATCTCTATCTGCTCCAATATGGCGTATCGTCCACCCTTAGATATATGTGTGCGAAGCTGCAATCAGAGCCTTATGCTTCCTCAGTTCTCCGACTTGATGCAGCAACACTTTATATGCACTCTCTCCATCTAACAAATGAGAAAGTCTTCCTCAGCTTTTGTAGGAGCCAGGAGTCTGAGGGCTTGTGTGCACTGTACTTTAGTCCACAAAGAGGGGTGTAAATTTTAGTCCATGCTAACATATGATGCGCTAACTGGCCCATGTGAACCCTCCCAGTGCACAATAAAATTCACTAGTGCACAGTAACATAGTACCGGTTGAAACAGGACTTCACTAATGCACACCAGAGAGCTTTTTGTGGCTGCCATCATGGTCTATATGGGCCAAGAATTGCACTAGTGCAGACTAAAATTTACCCCTGTCTGGGGCAATTTCTGTTCTTGCTGACTCTAGGCTGGTGTCATGACAAGCAGCATGATCTGGTGGACTGAATGCAGAACTGAAGCTAGGAATCCACAAGTAATAATCCCGTTTCTGACACTGGCTCACTCGATGGCCTTGTCTAAACTAATCAAGAGTAAGGCTAGAGATAATGAGGTCAATTCAGTCAGGGAGGATGAGGCCCACTTCTAGTAGCTGATGTGGAGGGGTGAAAACTGCTTTTGTAGTTGGCTAGCCATTCACAGTCTTTGTTTAATCCTAAAACGATGGTATCAAATTTGCAGATGAACTGTTGCTCAGTTACTAAAATAAGACTTGAGATTTACATTACACACTTCACTTCTCTACAGAAGAAAAAGGACTGTAAGCTGTGTAAACTCCTACCTGCCACACGGGGATACAATAGTGGTACCCTTAACTCACCCAGCAATATCATCAATCTATCCAACTACACACTCAGCCCGGCAGACGAGTCTGTCCTATCTTGGGGACTCTCTTTTTGCTCCACCACCTCCACAAACATGATACAGTTCTGCGGTGATCTGGAAGTCTACTTTCGCCGTCTCCAACTCAAGGAATACTTTCAACACAACACTCAACAGCGCACTGACACACAGATACCCTCCCACCAACAGCACAAGAAGAACTCTGCATAGACTCCTCCTGAGGGTCGAAATGACAGTCTGGACCTATACATAGAATGCTTCCGCCAACGTGCACAGGCAGAAATTGTAGAAAAACAGCATCGCTTGCCCCATAACCTCAGCCGTGCAGAACACAATGCCATCCACAGCCTCAGAAACAACTCTGACATTATAATCATTAACAGCTGATAAAAGAGGTGCTGTTGTCATCATGAACAGGTCTGACTACCAAAAGGAGGCTGCCAGACAACTCTCCAATACCATATTCTACAGGCCACTTTCCTCAGATCCCACTGAGAAATACACTAAGACATTGCACCATCTGCTCAAGAGACTCTCTACACAAGCACAAGAACAAATCTACACAAACACACCCTTAAAGCCCCGACCGGGATTATTCTTTCTACTACCGAAGATACACAAACCTGGAAATTCTGGACGCCCCATCATCTCGGGCATTGGCATTCTCACTGCAGGACTGTCTGGATATGTTGACTCTCTACTCAGACCCTTCGCCACCAGCACTCCCAGCTATCTCTGAGACACCACTGATTTCTTGAGAAAATTACAATGTATTGGTGATCTTCCAGAAAACATCATCCTAGCCACCATGGCTGTAGAGGCTCTCTACACCAACAGCCCACACATAGATGGAATACAAGCTGTCAGGAACAGTATCCCTGATGATGTCACTGCACAACTGGTGGCTGAGCTCTGTGACTTTATTCTTACACACAACTATTTCAGATTTGGTGACAATATATACCTCCAAACCAGTGGCACCGCTATGGTCAACCACATGGCCCCACAATATGCCAACATTTTTATGGCTGACCTGGAACAACGCTACCTCAGCTCTCGTCCACTAGCGCCCCTTCTCTACTTACTCTACATTGATGACATCTTCATCATCTGGACCCATGGGAAGGAGTCTCTGGAAGAATTCCACCACAATTTCAACAATTTCCACCCCACCATAAACCTCAGCCTGGACCTGTCTACACAAGAGATCCACTTCCTGGACACTACGGTGCAAATAAATTATGGTCACATAAATACCACCCTATATTGAAAACCTACGGACAGCTATGCCTACCTTCATGCCTCCAGCTTCCATCTGGTCTACAGCCAAGCACTAAGGTACTACTGCATTTGCTCCAACCTCTCAGACAGAGACAAACACCTACAAGATCTTCACCAAGCATTCTTGAAACTACAATACCCACCCGGGGAAGTGAGGAAACAGATTAACAGAGCCAGACGTGTACCCAGAAGCCTCCTACTACAAGACAAGCCCAACAAAGAAACCAACAGAACACCACCAGCCATCACCTACAGTCTTCGCTAAAACCTCTCCAATGCATTATCAGTGATCTACAACCCATCCTGGACAATAATCCCTCACTTTCACAGGCCTTGGGAGGCAGGCCAGTCCTCACCCACAGACAACCCACCAACCTGAAGCAAATTCTCACCAGCAACTATACACCGCACCACAGTAACTCTAACTCAGGAATTCCTGCAACAAACCTCGGTGCCAGCTCTGCCCACATATTTACACCAGCAACACCATCACAGGACCTAACCAGATCAGCCACACCATCACGGGTTCATTTACCTGCACATCTACCAATGTAATATACGCCATCATGTGCCAGCAATGCCCCTCTACTATATACATTGGCCAAACTGGACAGTCCCTACGTAAAAGAATAAACAGACACAAATCAGATATCAGGAATGGTAATATACAAAAACCTGTAGAAGAACACTTCAATCTCCCTGGACACACAGTAGCAGATTTAAAGGTAGCCAACCTGCAATGAAAAAACTTGAAGAACAAACTTCAAAGAGAAACTGCTGAGCTGCAGTTCATCTGCAAATTTGATACCATCAGTTTAGGATTAAACAAAGACTGTGAATGGCTAGCCAACTACAAAAGCAGTTTCTCCTCTCTTGGTTTTTACACCTCCACATCAGCTGCTAGAAGTGGGCCTCATCCTCCCTGACTGTATTGACCTTGTTATCTCCAGCCTTACAATTGATTGGTACTCTTTCCTTATTCCTGTATATTTATACCTGCCTCTGGAATTTCCACCATATGCATCTGATGAAGTGGATCTTTGCCTACGAAAGCTTATGCTCCAATAAATCTGTTAGTCTATAAGGTGCCACAGGACTCCTCATCGCTTTTGCAGATTCAGACTAACATGGCTACGCCTCTGATAGTTGTCTAAACTAGTTAGGCTCCTGTACTAAAAGCCACAGCTGCCTTTCCAGGAGTAATGTATGACCCATGTATGATTCACTTACAGAAAACCTCTTCAAGAACAGTTCTTAGCTCTGTTTTTGCTGTAGCGTGGCAAAAGGTAAAACAAACTCATTGCAATGTCATTCTCCCAACCCAGACTGTCCTGGGGATCTGTTTTATCCACCTATTTATCCTGTCTCATATGCCAGTTGCAAGCTCTTTGGGGACAGGGATTCCTTTTTTTGTTAATTGCCCACACAGAACCCGGCACAACGGGGCCTTGATCCAGGATCCTAGGTATGAAATATTAAATGACATCAAAACAACTACTGACCTCGCAGAACTGCCACAGAAAGGGCAGTGTGATGCTCAGGGAGGAAGGATTAGATTAACTAACCCATTTCTTCTGCAGCCCTGCTTTTACTTTCCTCGGATACAAACTGAGCAAATGAAATCATACCGTGCCCCATCTGTTTTACAAAAGGCTTACAGATTCTGGTTTAGGGCACTAAGGTCAGAGCTGTCCTCAATTCACGGGCATCCCATCTCAAAAAAAGAGCAGATCCGCTTGTAACTGGCAAGAGGCAGAAATGAATCCGGAAGCTCTGGAGCTTAACGTAGGCACCTCTACAGCTTGAGCTATAGTCAGCTGGCTGTTGCTGTAAGTGGTCTACGTGACACTACATGAGACAGTAAACCATACCCACTGGGTGTGTAGGTTACACACTGGCATCCCATCTCAAAAAAAGACCCCGCTACACAAACCAGGTGTGGCTTTTGAAAATCAGTGTCCACAGCCAGACTCTAGTACTCCTTATACAACCCCTTTCATTCCATGATGTCAAAGTACTGTGCCC